TTTGGCGTCATGAGTAGAGAAGTTCCGTCAGTTTGGATCTATAGCGAATCAGAACTAAAAAGTTATTTAAAACATGACCACTTCAGGTCGAACACGCACCATGCGCAGCCCTATAAACGTCACCAGAGTTCAGATTTCAGTAGCCGAGTCCCACGAGACGTCAGTCCGTAGATGATCTGCAGCTAGGACTTTCCTACACCTCAACCGTCTGCATTCTCTAGGCAGATCTTAACCTACGACTGTATCTTTTTCATCTTCCCTGGGCCGAAATGACATGGATCAGAGCATGGCAATGTGTTCATGATTCCTCGATTGTCTTGTAAAGAGGGACAATTTCCTCGATGACATTTGGTTTACTGCAAAGGTTAACTCCAAACATGTTATCTATTGGGCACCCCACTCTATTGTCTCTAGAAGAAACTTTTTTCTGAACATGTACAGTGTATGTGGCTTTAAAACTCATGGTTTAGCAGGTCCTTGTGTAAGGGCGCCACTGAACATTTCGAACGACGGGTTAAAAATGTGTCGAGTCCAAAGGAGGGAATGTGGAGCACTGCTTCTAAGAATTTCAGAATGAAATCATTAGGTTTTTGAAACTCTGTAAAGAATTTAAATATTGTTTAAATGTCATAGGGATGGAAAATTAATGTCAAAGAGAAAATAAAGAAAAAGGTTAAATAATCTTTTCACGACTTCCTTTACAAGATTTTGAAACATTGGTGAACTTTGTGTTTTTGAGTGCTTTTTTCTTTTAGCGGTTTCCGTTTTCAAAACATGTTTCTTCTTCGTGGATTTTATATCAAACAAATTCCGATTGAATAAATTATGTCTCTTCGAAATTACAGAATTCTAGAACAATTTTTGCGCGAGATATTCAGAAAAAAGTTGTAAAGTTTTTTTTTGGATCACCCTGTATATAAATACTGTTGGTGTGTATGTGTACGTTCGGCAAACAGCAAAAAGGATGCTGCTGGTAAAAGACTGTGTGTCATACCTTTAAACTTGTACAAACAAAATCGCTACCTTAGAATTACACAGTTCTGTCGGCTTAGTACCTAGTTTTGATAAATATGATGTCAAATATTTTGGGAGCTATTTTGAATGCAGTTCTTTGAATATCTTGACAAGGACTCAGAATAATCGTACGATTATGATAGAGCAGATACAGCATTTGATTTCTGACGTCAAGGTCTTAGTAATTCAAAACGGCCAAGAATGTCAGATAGAACTATGTAATTCTGAGGTAGCGAAATATCTCCACTTAGACCAGCCTTAAATGCCCCCTTATTTCTCCTCGCTCAGCCTCAACCGCCCCGACCATATCAATCGACGTCACGCCTATTGACGTGCGCGAAGATACAGCGCTAGAGACCAAGCTTCCATCCAGCTGCACCACGTCGGATACCGACAATACGACTACCGCCGACGGGACGTACTACGTGGAATTTAACGGTCAGTTGGAACTCTTTTTTATTGTAAGAGTTTAACGGCACTTGCGATATTATAAGATTAGAAGTGTTGCGAGAGAGTAACCAAAAAAAAAAAAAACCAAACAAAAACCAAACAAACAAACAAACAAACAAAAAAACAAGGAAAAAAAACAACAGAAGGAGAGATAAAGACGAAAGATGTTTGATAGGAAAGAAGAAGCAAACCACATCAGAGCACCCGCCGACCCTCCACATTTTGTGCTTCCATAAATAGCCACTGGTGACAATTATATTATATCATATCAAAATTCGAGCACCTTTGTTCTTGGCCTAAATTAATAGTGAGTACTAGGAAGCGTCAATGAAAACGAGATAGATCCCAGTCAGAGATGAGGCAGGATGAAGTCGGTGGTGATGGAAAGGCCAAGCTCTCAGGAAGTCAGGCAGCTGCATAACAAAGAAAGTGTTGGATTGGAATATACAGCGTAAAAGATCAAGTTAAAGTACACGAGGAACCTGGAAGAGAATCACAAAAATTGATGTACAGAAAAATGGAAAGACATTGGTTTGGAATAACATCAAGAGGCTAGCCCAGGATAGAGAAAGGTAGAAAGCGTTTGTTCGTGGTCTATACCCTGCCTCATACAGGGTGAGAAAAGCAAAGATGTTGAGGACGTCTCCTTTCACAAAAGTAAACATCCTGTAACAAGACCTTCAATCTTCTTTTTCAAATTTGAACCTTTGCTGATAAGTTATATATTTCTGACTTTATCTATCTATCTATCTATCTATCTATCTATCTATCTATCTATCTATCTATCTAT